GAATACACAGGAATCAAATCGACTACATTTGTGGGAAGAGACTATGGAGAAGCTCATTATCATCAGTCAGAACAAGGCCAGGGCCCAACTGTGGAATGGGTAATCAATTGCTCATATGTAAGTTCAAGTTGAAGCTAAAGAAAATTAAAACAAGTCCATGAGAGCCAAGATACAACCTTGAGTATTTCCCACCTAATTTAGAGACCATTTCAAGAATAGAATTGATGCATTGAATACTAATGACTGAAGACCAGATGAGTTGTGGAATGACATCAAGGATATTATACATGAAGAAAGGAAGAGATCATGAAAAAGACAGGAAAGAAAGAAAAGACCAAAATGAATGTGAGAAGAGACTCTGAAATTTGCTCTTGAACATAGAGTAGCTAAAATGAACTGAAGAAATAATGAAGTAAAAGAACTGAACAGAAGATTTCAAAGGGTGGCTCGAGAAGAAAAAGTCAAGTATTATAATGACATGTGCAAAGACCTGGTGTAAAACCAAAAGAGAAGAACATGCTGAGCATTTCTTAAGTTGAAAGAACTGACGAAAAAAATTCAAGCCTCGAGTTGCAATATTGAAGGATTCTATAGGCAAAATCTTGAACGACACAGGAAGCATCAAAAGAAGATGGAAGGAATACACAGAGTCACTGTACCAAAAAGAATTGCTCAAAGTTCAACCATTTCAGGAGGTAGTATATGATCAAGAACCAATGGTATTGAAGGAAAAAGTCCAAGCTGCACTGAAGGCACTGGTGAAAAACAAGGCTCCAGGAAGTGATGGAATATCAATTGAGATGTTTCAACAAATGGATGCAACACTGGCAGTGCTCACTAGTCTATGCCAAGAAAATGCTACCTGGCCAACCAACTGGAAAAGATCCATATTTGTGTCCATTCCAAAGAAAGGTGATCCAATGGAATGTGGAAATTATCAAACAATAACATTAATATCACACACAAGTAAAATTTTGCTGAAGATCATTCAAAAGTGGTTGCAGCAGTATATTGACAGGTAACTGCCAGAAATTCAAGCCAGATTCAGAAGAGGACATGGAATGAGGAATATCATTGTTAATGTCAGGTGGATATTGGGGGAAAGTAGAGAATACCAGAAAGATGTTTACCTGTGTTTTATTGACTATGCAAAGGCATTCGACTGGGTGGATCATAACAAATTATGGATAACATTGTGAAGAATGGGAATTCCAGAACACTTAATTGTGCTCATGTGGAACCTGTTCTTAGACCAAGAGGCAGCCGTTCGAACAGAATAAGGGGATACTGCGTGGTTTAAAATCAGGAAAGGAATATCACCTCAGAAATGCCAAGAATTCTTCTCCTGCACCTCCAGCCACACTGTATTAGAGTGTATGGTCTATTACTTATCCTAGTACCTTGGCACAAGGACCTTCAAGCAGCATGAGTCTGGCAAAGGTAGACAAGATGGGAGGCCCACATCTGCTCAGCTCTCCTCTTGTTAAGATCTGAAGCTGCTACTGGCATTTACAAATTTTGAACTATGTGCATTACTGTGGACAATCAGGAAGAAATTCGTAGTAGAACAAGGTATACCGTACTTGCACCTATCTCAACACAGGGCACCTTTGTGACTTTTGAGACTAGAAAAAGAGAACCAAATGTACAAGTGATAGAGACAAGATGATAGAGACATCTCAGTTAATTGGACATCATGCTTGGTAAAGTAGAGGGTAGGCGAAAAAGAGGAACACCCTCAACATGATGGATTGACACAGTGGCTACAACAGTGACCTCAAACACAGCAACAACTGAGGATGGCGCAGGACTAGGCAGTGTTTTTGTTCTGTTGAACATAGCAATGAGTCGGAACTGACTTGACGGCACCTTACAATGACAGAACAATCTTTATGGAAGCAGGCTGCCACATCTTTTTCACACACAGTGGCTGGTGGGTTCAAACCGCCAGCCTTTCTGTTAGCAGGCGAGCAGTAAACCAGGGCTTCTTTGAAGGATGTACCATCAGGAAATGTCGTTGAAAGATGTTGGTACATTTTCCATTAACATCATATGCACAGGCAGACTCTACAACCAGCTGCTATAATGTATTACAGGGTTATGAGGTATCAGATGCAATTCCCAAGGCAGTAACCACAGAGTAGACTTCTGCACTAAAGCCTCTGTGACTTTTTCTTCTTCCTAAACTCTCACTAAAACAATTGTCTTTTGCTTTCACGTACTTGAAGAGTATTCTTTTCTCTACTCTCTCTAAGTCAAATTATAATACATGATCCCTGTGGATTTTTTAAGTCTATCCTTACTGTTGGTTTAATATACATTAGTTCTGTTACCTATCCTCTAGTTATAATTATTTGTGACCTTTTTAAATTCCTTCTTTTTCAAGATTAAAATGTAAACTATTTTTTGTCACTTAAGAAATCCTGAAAAATTCTCCCATCCCCCACACATACATATTTCCCTTTAAGTGTCTGTTGATCCTGGCTGTATATTTTCTTTCATCCCTTTCGTCACTCTTAAATTTTCGGTTTATTATGCGCCAGGTGTCTTCCATTGCCTGCTTTAAGTGCCTCTAAAGTTCATGCTTTCCACGGGGAATAGCTATATATAACAATTTTATTAGCAAGAAAAGTTTGTGTTTATATGACAAATATCACAATGTTTTATTACCTACAGAGAAAGCATCCAGATGATTAACTTTTTCAGTTTTTATCTAAATAGTTTGTCTTCTAAGCATGCCCCCCCCACCCCACATACCAGTCTTCTTTATGTTGCAAACTGTTCTTTATAAATATTAATCAGTTATTTTCTGGGTTTCCAATGATTAATATTTTCATGCCTTTATCAAGCCTCATTATATTTTATAAATAGCCAAATATTACAGCAGTAGTCTTCAATGTAACATGTACACTAAACGAGCCTCATTTTGGTGAAGAGTGATGTTTGTGCAATAGCTAGAGCTCTTTCTGCTACTGCCATCTAGTGGTTCTTCTCAGTATAATTATTTTCCAGAAGTATTTTCCAGAAATTGCATGTAGGTTGAATCCAAATAGCTAAGGATGCCCAGCTATAGGACAGAGTAGAACTGCCACACAGGGTTTCAAGATCTATTTACCATTAATAAAATAAGTTTTATTGCACACAGTGTTGAAATAACCCTGATTAATATTACCCAAGGATAAATAGGGAAAATGCTTTTTGTTAAAAAAAAAAACAACCTTACAACTTCTAGCTGAAGAATTTTTTAAAAATGTATCAACATGCTTATTCTCTAAGGGATGTCACCTCATAAATGCCAGGAGTTCTTCTCCTGCACCCACACACCTCTCACCTCCAGCCACTGTATTAGAGTGTATTCTCCATTACTTATTCTAGCACTTGGCACAAGGACCTTCAAGCAGCATGAGGGTGGCAAAGGTAGACAAGATGAGAGGCCCACATCTGCTCAGCTCTGCTGTTGTTAAGATCTGAAGCTGCTATTGGCATTTACAAATTTTGAACTATGTGCATTACTGTGGACAATGAGGAAGAAATTCGCAGTAGAACAAGGTATACTGTACCTCTGCACCTATATCCACATAGGGCACCTTTGTGACTTTTGAGGCTAGAAAAAGAGAACCAAATGTATGAGTACTTTAATAAAGAGCAGCATCAGACTATGACAGAGACATCTCAGTTAACTGGCCTAATAACATGTTTAGTGCTTCTGTTCTCTGGGGGTCTTAAAAGCTTGCAAGTGGCCATTCAGTCCAAGACAATTTATCTCTATTTGTCTGGAGCAGCAGAGGAAGGAGAATCAGGAATAGGAGGAAGATATGGAATGTGTGGCTAACTGCCTCCATAAACAACTGCCTCCTTTGCCATGAGACCAGAAGAACTGGATGGTGCCCAGCTACCATTACTGAACATTTTGATCAAAGATTCTGTAGAAGAATCCTGATCCAAAGAGGGGAAATGCAGAACAGAATTTCAAATATTCATGGACTCCAGACTTTCTAGAGCCAACAGGGTTGGATGACCTCCTGAATCTATTGCCCTAAAGTCTTCTTAAAATAAAACAATAGTTTAGCTTAACTAGTAAAACAATGTCTGCCTTGAGCATTATGCTTTTTTAAGAACCATCTATATGGGATCAAAGTGCCAACAGCAACTGGAAAGATTAGGTAGGAATCTTAGGGGGCAGTGAGTTTATGTTAATGGGGGAGGAACAACTCAGGAAAGGAGGGTGAGAATGGTTACACAACTCGAAGAATGTGATCAATGTCACGGAATTACACATGTAGAAACAGTTGAATTGGTGTATATTTTGCTGTAAATATATATATTTTTTTATTGTGCTTTAGGTGAAAGTGTACAGCTCAAGTTAATTTCTTATACAAAAATTTATACACGTATTGTTATGTGACACTAGTTGCAATCCCTATAATGTGACAGCACACTCCCCATTTCCACCCCGGGTTTCCCGTGTTCATCTAACCAACTCCTGTCCCTTCCTGCCTTCTCATCCTGCCTCTGGACAGGAGCTGCCCATTTGGTCTCCTGTATCTGCTTGAACTAAGAAGCACACTCTTCACAAGTATTATTTTATGTTTTATAGTTAAGTCTAATCTTTATGCTGTGAATATTCTTAACAACAACAACAACAAAAAAGACTCCCATGGAGCTGATGACTAGTTCTTTCTTTACTAATTTACTTATGGACAAGTTAGTATTTTTCTCATTTGTGGCAGGATAGGATCAACAATATGTCCTCAGCACTTAGCAAGGTGCCTAGTAGATAGTAAGAACTCAGTAAATATTTGTACAATCAATAAATTCAACAGACAGGAAAATTAAAGCCTGCTCTGAATAAGGGTAGTGAGGCCATTGATTGGGTCTATGAAGGAGAGCTTTGCATGTCCTTATGTTTTATATTAATCCTGCAATTTCCATATTTTATCAAGTGATAAGTGAAACTAATTTGTAAATGTGATGTCTTAATATGGATTCTTCCTTTGCAGGTCTCTACCAAAACCCTTTGTGCCAATATAACCTGTACCGTTTATACATAATCTACCATCTTCCCGGAGTGACACTGCTTGACCGAAATCGTAAGGACACCTCTTTCTTGCAAAGAAATATTTGAGAGGCAGTCTTATAACTCAGTGGACTAAAAATGTAGAATGCCTTTGAAAAGAGTTGTCTTTGTAAATGAAAAATTTACAATTATTTAGTCTTGAAATTTTTGCCATCTGAAAATTGTTCCGGTTTAAGAATTCATGTCTCTTGACCACTCTATTGGAAAGACCATCTAACAGAGTGAGAAAAGGTCTCTTTTTTTGTCCTGGTTTTGATATCAACACGTTGGATGCCAATCATTTATCCCTGGTACTTTAGTTACTTATCTCTAAAATGAGAGAATTAGACTAAATCTCTTAAGGCCTATTTAAGTTCTAAAAGTCATCTTTGAAATTCTGTAAATATATAGTAAAACTGGTATCAATACTTTCATTATGAATACATCTTTAGACATTGTGTATCAATTAATATGTCTTTATTTATACAATCCACAAAAAAATCTACCTCAATGTATTACATTTTACATTTTTAGGGAACTATTTTACTTTGCAAGTGCCTTATTACCCCTCAATCTGCTCGCCTTTCAATCTCACAGATTTGAACATTTTCAATAATTCATTACTGAGTACCTTATGTCTATGAGGATATCAAGACCTCATATGCCTCTTCTTCCTCATAGCCTTGAGGAAATGAGGGAATGTGTCTTACCTACTATTTCAATCACCTTGGTGATGTGTTACAGAGCATCTGGGATACATTAGACTGCAGTGTTGATCTGAGCCTTGCGACATGAACATGTGTTAAGATTATGAAAATAACTGTGATAGCTCCTTTACAAATTAGTTCTGACAGGATGATCACATATAACCTAGTTCAGAGAAATAAATTTTTGAAAGTGTCTAATACTTTTTTGATTCTCCACATATTTTTCTACAGTGCTGTGCAGTAACATTACTTTGTGCATTTTCAGAAGTTACAGAAAAAGAAAGAAGATCAATGATTACCATTTTTAACCATGAAAAAGCACATATTCTCCAATCAATTGCATTTGGAGGAAAGGTAGATGCCTCATGGAATCCTACATCACCATTTAAACAAAAACCAACCCAGAGCGTACCCTCAGGTATATTGAAAAAAAAAAAAAAGAAATTAAAACTACTCAAACTTATGAGTAACCTGATCATCATAATAATTGCAATTATAATAAGCTAAGTATCTAGTGAAATGCATAATCTCTAATTTAATAATTTTGTTAGTCTAATTAAAGTGAATATTCAATTTTAATCTTCATTTAAGTATATTAAATTAATTGATGCAATATGATAATAATGAGATTACACAGTGAAGCCTTTACTCCAGTACCAGCACAGTGTAAAGGGCTCAGTAATTATAAGCTAAAATTGCTAGTATTATCATTATCACAGAACAATTTCACCAATTAAGAATAAAAGTTTTAGAAAATATGGAGAAATATTAAGAAGAAATAAAGATCATCTGCAATTCTTCTACCCAAAAATAAGCACTGTTAAAATTTTGGTTGTACTCACATACCAGTCTTGATAAGCAAGTATAACTTGAATATCTTCAGTGATATTTCATCAGTTAGAATTGCATTCCTTCTCTGTAACAGGAATCTAACTAAAGTGGCTTAAACAAATAGGAATTTATTTTTCTCACATAACAAAGGGTATAAAGGTAGAGTGTCCAGGTTTAGTGTACAAACTCCATGAATACATCTGTCTTTTTGTTCTGCCACTTCCAGTATGATTTATGGTTACAAAGTAGCTTCTGTACCACCAAGCATCGCATCACCATTCCAGGCAGGAAGAAGGATGGATGAAAATGGTACAAAGGCAAATGTCTTTTCCTCATGACATTTTGCCTGAGATGACATATGCTTGGGAAAAGAGCCAAATAGATTTTCTGCACTTTAAGAGAAAATTATTAAAATGGAAAGTAGTTTTGAGGAAATAACACAGAGTGCAATGTAAAGAAATAAAAAATAGAAGCTATGAATTAGATATTGAGACAAGAGACAGTAGAAAGAGAAGGTCCAAAATAAGTTTAGTAACAATTCCTGCAGGAAAAAAAAATAGAAATTGGGGAGAAGGTGATGTTTGAAGTGATAATGGTTGGGAATTTTCCAGATTTGATAAATGATATGAATCCTTAGATTCATCAGAAAAAAATGAGTTCAAAGAAATATACATTAAAAAAATTCCACACCAAAGGCAAAAAGAAAATCTTCAAGCAGTCAGAAAGAAAATGCAGATTACCTACAAAAGAATAATGAAGATTAACAACAAACTTCTCAACTGTAACCATGGAAGTCACAAGACAATAATCTAATGCCTTAAAAATATTGAAGGAAAGTAATGGTTAAACAAGAATTCTATAACCGGATAAATTATTATTCAAAATGAAGAAGGAAGAAAAAGCAGAATGAGGGAAACATACTCTTCCCTCGACTTTTTATTGTGAAAATTTTATTACATAGAAAAAGTCAAAAAATAGTACAATAAATGCCTATATATGCCTGTACCTATTCAACAATTGTTAATATTCCACAACATTTGTCCCCCTTCATATATGAGGATTTGCTTCTTTATTTAGGAAGGTCAGGCCTCCCCAGAAACTTCTATTTACACCTCATTGGTTGTCCCTAACTACAAAGTCAGCTGGAAATTTTAATATATTGCTGAACCATTTAAATGTTTCAGTAGCGTCATCATGACATTTCACTCCCAAATAATTTAGCCTGAAAGTTTAACAATAAGGGCATTTGTCTATATAACCACAATGCTGTTGTCACAGCTAAGAAAAACAACAAATTCATATATATTATCTAATGTATAATCCATATTCAAATTTCACAATTGTCCCAAAATGCCTTCTATAGCTGTTTTGTTCAAGCCAGGATGAAGATGAGGGAGATAAAGAACACAATTCAAAAATTATTGGTGGAAGTATAAACTGGTTCAGCTTTCTTGGAAGACCGTATGACAGTATTTATCAACATGTAAAATGTGCAAACAATTTGACAGCAGCAATTCAATTTGAAGTATCTCTCCTACAGAAAGTACTTGCATACACAAAGATGTGTACAAGGCATCTCATCACAACATTTTTTTCTTAATAGTAAAAATGAAAACAATTTAAATAGTCATTCATATGGGGAATGTTAAATAAATTATGGCACATTCATACGATAGGAACTATTCCATTATAGAACGATCCCATGATATATTTTTAGTATAAAAAAATTGCAGAATAATGTAATGCAGTGTAATGGCAAAATTGGAATTTTATCAGCAAATCTGTGTATATGTATGTGTGTGGTGCACATGTGTGTACGCACAAAGAAGGCTGGAAGCATACACACAAAACTCTTAATACTGGCACTTCCGATAACAGGGAAGTGGCAGTGGAAAGGTAAAAAGGAGAGTTCACTTTTTACTCTCTATTTACTTTATTGTTTATATTCACTATGAGGACAATGTGTGCTTTTTGTAATTAAAAATGTAGAAAAGGAAACAGAGTCTGGGGACATCAGGGAGGACGTGGAAGACTTGAATCAGCCATTTGTGAAGGGAACGATGCCATGAACCACTTCTAAGCAGAGGCTGTGTGTGTGCTTTCCACCCTGGCCTGATGTTCTCTGCTGCTTGTGGATTGGCAAGAGCCCATAGTGTGGGCTTTGGTGGTCCAACAGGTGCTGGTAATTTCCATCTCTAGTCTGGCATGAGGACTTCTAGAGAGGAATAAACAAAGCAATGACAGTCTCTGAGAGATACCATAAGAAATCCAGGCTTTGAGGACTAGCCTTTGAGCGCCAAAGCTAAGGAAGAGAGAGATTCTTGTGATCTAGGACTTATTCCAGTTCTTTGAAGTTAATGCCAAGAATCCAAATGGTTTAAAGGGCCCTGAATATTTCTCATTTGGTCTATTAGTCCATTTATAGAGGCATGTGCCTATCTGAAAAAAAGGATCAGTATCTGAATATGGTCTTCAATATCTTCATTATAAAATTCCCATTTGGATTCCATTGGTAACTAAACTGATTAAGCATTCTGTTCTCAGGGTTTTGAGATTTGTATTGTATTAAAGAATTTGCCCTAACATCTTAGGCAAAAACAACCATATCTAAGAGACAATTTCATTTTTGGATTCAATATCAAGGTATGTTTTGGTAGAATGATTTATTTATCTAAATGATGGATCAAAAAACAGAAAGCCGTACTTTTCCTTTATAGCATTGTTGCATTGTATTTAATTACTGAATAAACATTTGAAAAATACTAATTTAGAAATGTATTTTTTTCAGATTTTGCATTTGCAAATAATGTAGACAAGTAAGTGATATTTTTATTTTCACTTTTATTATCATATTATTTCATAATTGTGTTGACCCCCTAAATTATCCTCATTTCCTAAAATAGATTTTAATGAATTAAAAAATTCCTAGCTCTTCAGTAGATGAGGAAAATTGCTATGTCTTTCTGTGATAAATGAGTTCAGGCTATGTGTTCATATGTGACATTAGGTTTTAATATTACAACCCAAAATAAATGAAAGGATGATTTGAATACATTAAATAAAATTTGTTAAGAATTATTAGCTATTTCACGTTATACATTCTACTTTGGTGAGTAGCATCTGGGGTCTTAAAAGCCTGTGAGCAGCCATCTAAGATACTCTACTGGTCTCACCCCTTCAGGAGCAAGGGAAACTGAAGAAAACTAAGCACTCAAGGGAAAGATTAGTCCAAAGGACTAATAGACCACAACTACTATGGCCTCCACCAGACTGAGTCCAGTACGACTAGATGGTGCCGGGCTACCACCACTGACTGCTCCGACAGGGATCGCAATAGAGGATCCCGGACAGAATAGAAGAAAAATGGAGAACAAAATTCTAACTCAAAAAAAAAAAAGAAAGACCAGACTTACTGGCCTGACAAAGACTGGAGAAACATCGAGAGTATGGCCCCCGGACACCCTTTTAGCCCAGTAATGAAGCCACTCTGGAGGTTCACCTTTTAGCTAAGATTAAACAGACCCATAGGACAGAACAAGACTAAAGGGGCACACCAGCCCAGGGGTGAGGACTAGAAGGCAGGGACAGGAAAGCTGGTAATAGGGAACCCAAGGTCGAGAAGGGAGAGTACTAACATGTCATGGGGTTGTTAACCAATGTCATAAAACAATATGTGTACTAACTTTAATGAGAAGCTAGTTCTGTAAATCTTCATCTAAAGTTCAATAAAAAATAAAAGAATTATTAGCTATTTCAAATGAGGGGCTTTACCTTCCCGATTTCCTTTTCCACTATGTTTAGTGAGAGCAATTATCATACAGAATAATATTTTACTATCACTGGAATTTACATTTTCAAAAGCAAGTATTTCATTAATACTATGAAAGAGTTCAAATTCATGAATAACAGTCAATTTAAAATCATCATTCCTTTTTATTTTTGCACTTAGGCATTTTTTTTGGATTCAGTGTTGAAAAGTACTATCCCCATGCACGTTTACTGTATTTCTATGCAAATAACGTGACCCTTCTATGTTTGTTTGCCAACCATGCCCTCTTCCAGTGAGGTATTTTCATAAGCACGGCTATGTCAATTTTTTTTTTTACATGCGTCTGTAAAACAAATTAGCATAGTGCAATTATGAAAATACCTCCCAGGGAGACGGTGCAGTTGGCAAACAAATGTAGAAGGCACGTGTTATTTGCATAAAAATCAGTGTAAAATATAGTGTAATATAGGGAAATACTAACTTTATAATAGAATGTACTTAATATATTAATATGTATATGGTATCTATAAATACTTTAATCATCTGACACTGGTTTTAAAACACGAATGCTTGAATGTATGGGGCCTAAACTGTAATAGCGGATCCGCAAATATGTCCAGATACTTAATTTTTAAAATAATGTATACAATAAATATAACATTACTTAGCCTGAAAGTCTTTTACAGCCCAAAAATTATTTGTTAGTGGTAGTAAAATAAAAATAACATAGAAAAATATGGCATTTATTTATTTGAATAATAAGTTTATTTTGGTTGGCCTAATTTTTTTTTTCTGACATAAATGCTTTTCTTGCAGAACTGTGTTTAATGACCTAGAAGATGCTGTTTTTGTAAGATCCATGAAGAGATCAGTGATGGCTATTACCTCTATGAACTGGGACTCAGTTCCAACACGAGATGAAAAATACCTTGAAGAGAAAGGCACAGAACCTGCTAAAATGCTCACAATTACACTGAGATAACTCCTGGTGTTTCTAGAAATCATAATGGTTCTCAGTTGTATATTAAACTTTCCTGTGATTTAGCATATTATATATTTATTATGATATTATTTGAGACATTTAAATGTAAATGAAAACACTAACAATGACAATTCCTACATTTTATTTTTTAATGTAAAGTTTCTGTTGAAGTAAAACATGTATACAGAAATGTATGCAAATCATTCAAGTGTTCAGCTCAACAAATTTTAAAAAACTGAACATGCTTATGTCACCAGCACTCCAGATCAAGAAATAGAGTACTGTTAGCACTCTAGGAGCCCCTCATTCCTGTCACCAGCCATTACCCACTCGTCAAAAGTAATCACTGTCCTGATTTCTAGACCATAAATTAATTGTGTTAGTTTTTGAAAGGTATTTAAATGAAATCATAGAAGCCTTTGTGTCTGACTTCTTTCAAATGACGTTGTAAGATCCATCCATGTTGTAGCTAGTAGCAATAATTCTGTCATTCTCATTGTTATATATTATTCCATTGTATGAATATACCATGATTTTTTTTATCCTGTCTACTGTGTTTTTATTCTCGCCTCTAAAGGCATTTGCCAATTATGAGTGTGGGCTAATGATCTGGGCTTGGCCCAGCCAGAAGCCTGCTGCTAGGGGAAAGAGAAACCAGAAAAGCTTTTAACAGTTGCCTGGTGCTGAGTGACAGAACTGGTCATTCAAGGTAACTCCAAGACCTGGCTGGTTTTCCCAGAAGACATTTGCTGAATTCTGAAGCTGGGTAGGAGGCTAATGAGCTAGATCAAAAGCATGTGAAAGGCAGAGTGACTTTTCCCTCTATATGGTGGTGCTTAGGAAACATAGCCACTGTAGAAGTGGGACTGAAATAAAAACAGGCAAGAGATGAAAGCCCTACAGGGAGTAGTGAATTGACACTGAGAACCTGGAGGCACTTACGGATCTAGGGAATATCCACTACAGCCAATAAAACCATGGCTTTCTTTGGAGGTCTGTTACTTTATAGCTGCAGAGATACTACATAATTCTTAACATATTAAATATGTACTGAGTAGTAGTTAAGACTGCAGTCTTCACTGAGTCCCAGCTGTGCACTTGTGGGCACGTTAGGTGACCTCTTTACATTTCAGCTTTGTCCTCATCTATGCTGTTACTGTTAATTGCTGTCGATTGGACTCTGACTCATGGCGCTCCATGTGTGCACAGAACTGCTCCAAAGGGTTTTCAAGGCTGTGACCTTTCAGAAGCAGATCCTCAGGCCTGTCTTCCAAGGCATCTCTGGGTGGATTCGAACCACCAACCTTTTGGCTAGTAGTCAAGCGCTTATTAACTGTTTGTGCCACGCAGGGACTTCTCATCTGTGTTATGGGGATAAAAACAAAGACTAATTCATAAGGTTGTTGTGCCTATTAAGCAAGACAGTGTCAGAGATCTAGCAACTTTCAGTGTTAGCTATTATTACCTATTGAATCAAGAAGGAGCCCTGGTGGCACAATGGTTAAGCACTCAGCTGCTAACTGAAATAGTGGTTTGAACCCATGCAGGGTTCTGAGAAAGACAGACGTCATGATCTGCTTCAATAAAGATTACAGCCAAGAAAACCCTACGGGGCAGTTCTACTCTCACAGGGGATCACTATGAGTCCAAATCGACTTGACAGCACCTAACAACAACAACTGAATCAAAAAGCAAGTCCAATTTCCTAAAAAGCCCACTGGCCAATTGAATATTTATATCAGCTGTATGTACAAGAATTACTAGAATTTTAAGAATATTCTAATCCTTTAGGTCTTATTTTTTTTTTTTTAAAATAAACCACAAAGTTAATTTATTGATATAGTGAGAGGCATAAGACACATTAGGGACTTGAGAACTTTAAAACAGACTACCAGGAGTTGCATAAATGGAAATCATTAATTCTAATCTTTTTTTTAATTTCCTATTAAAGTCATTGATTATGCAGCATTAAATTCAGACAAAGTACTAGAGCATTACACTGGAGATTTCCCTCCAGTTTGATACTGGTCAACCACCTAGGTCTTAACTTTTTTTAAATTTTTGTTGTTGTTGTTGAGAATTACACAGCAGAATATACACCAATTCAACTGTATCTATATATACAATTCAGTGACATTGATTATATTATTCAAGTTGTGCAACCATTCTCACCCTCCTTTTCCAAATTGTTCCTTCCCTATTAACCTAAGCTCATTGCTCCCTAAGTTTCCTATCTAATCCTTTGAGTTATTATTGTCAATTTGATCACGTATAGATTGTTCTTAAAAGAACACAATGCTCAAGGCAGACATCTGCTAATTAAACTTGGTTTCAAGAAGACCTTAGGGGATATTTTTAGTTTAAGGTTTAAAGATTATCTCAGGACAGTAGTTTTGGGGGTTCATCCAGCCTCAATGGCTCCATAAAGCCTGGATTCCATGATAATTTTAAATTTTGTTCTGCATTTCCCGCCTTTTGATCAGGATTCTTCAATAGAATGTTTGATCAAGATGTTCAGTTAGGGGACTTCCGGCAAAATGGTGCTCTAGGCAGAAGTACCACGCCATCCCTCCAAAGCAAAGATCCGAAAAACTAAGCCGAACAGAGAAAACAACAATCCTGAAACCCTAAAACATCAAATGAAGAGATAAAGAACTCAGCCAAGCACCAAATGGAGTGAGAAAACTGACAGAGAACAGAGAGCGAGGAG